GTTGACTCCTTTCGTGGAGTCTGATTTCTCAAAAACCTTCCAAAGTGTTACGCTTTCTTTCTTTCTTTAAGATTTTATTTATTTATTTCAGAGAGAGAGAGAGATTGAGAGAGTGAGTGCGAGGAGGGGCAGAGGGAGAAGCAGGCTCCACGCTGAGCAGGGAGCCCAATGCGGGACTCGATCCCAGGACCCTGGGATCATGACCTGAGCCGAAGGCAGACGCTTAACGACTGAGCCACCCAGGCGCCCCAGATAGCCAGGTTTTCTAAGCCTGTGATACTTATGAGTATCTGACATTGTCTACTCTTCATCCAAAAAGTTACACTTCTATCCTTATTTCTAACCCAGGTTGAAAATATCTTTTACTGTTTAAAGCTGAATATTGGAACTCGAAAAAATTCTTAGACAGTTATCTTTGACAAATCATGGGTTTGCCATTCACAGGTTTGACTCATAAATGACTCCGAAGCAGCAATATAAATAGAGTAATTTGTCATTTTCCTTATAGCACAAATTTTAGTTTTCTACTCTTCCAGTCTGGGATGCAGTTGGAAGCAATCGGATTTTGCCATGGAGCAGAATTAATTAAGAGTGCAGATTCTGGTCTCAGGCCTCTTGGGTTTGAATTCCAGCTTCATCACTTACAGCTGAGTGACCTTAGCCAATGGGCAATCTCAGGATGAGTGTTACCAGAGAATTCACTTCATGGGGTTGCAGTAATGATTAAATAAGACAATGTACACAAAATGCTTAGCGCAGTACCTGGTGCATTACAAGCACTCAATGAATGTTAGCTGTTACTAACATTATTAATTTTATTAAGTTACATCCCTTGTGAATAAGCCTAGCCTACCCTGTACGTCAGCCAACCTTGGTCTAGACTTGGTTTTTGCTCTGTTCATTTCATAAGGGACGTAAGCCATGCTATAGTTGGATGAGGTGATCTGGGAACATGGTAGGATGCATTCCTTTTGAATATCATAGGGAAGTGTATTTTAAAATTCCTCAGTTTCAAGTCTAGCACTCTTGTAGATACTATCCTTTTCCCCTTAGCTGATTTGCTATTGCGTGGCAAAAGCTGTAAAAAGAAATAAATGCAAATCATCTGGTTTCCTTTGAGAATTGTTTTCATTCTGCCCTCTGGTGAGAAACAGTTGAGTGAAAAAACACAAATCCATAAATGAGACCACACCAGTGGGCTAAATTCTATCCCTGATGAGTTATATTACATTTACTAGAATCTGTGTTTTCCTAAAATGCCAGACATGACAATCTTAAAAAAAATAATTTTTTTCATTCCATTTCTTCATTTTATTCCTATAGAAGGTAGAAGTAGCATTTGAAAAAAAGCGTGGTTTTTCTTACCAGTGACAATATATGAACGATGTGCTTAGCATTAAAAAGGTAGTGACAACATCTCACACTAACTAAACAGGTAAGCACCTACTGTGTGCTAGGATTAGTTGTAGGGCACTGGGATTATAGTAGTAGATTCTGCCCTGCTAAAGTTTACAACTGACTAGGGAAGACCATTATTATACCAGTAACAGCTGCAAGGCTGAACCGTATAAATTTGCCAATATTGTACTGTTTTTGTCCTTCAAAATGGCAATCTCATATAGCTCAATTTAGTGTTATGAGGGAGTACAAGGAGAGATTATATGGTGTTGTTGGAACATATTTCAGGGGCTCCAGATTTGGCTTCTGAGGAGTGACATTTAAGGATGAGAACAAGCTGGCTGGGCAAGGGGGCTGGCGAGGGTTTGAAGCATTGGGAACAGCATGTGTAAGGAGGAAAGTGACACAAGGTGAGGTTGTCCTAAGGATATTGACTTTATTCTAAGGGCATATTGTAAGAAAGGGTGGAGGTTAAGCAGGAGGGTGTTAAGACCTGCTCAAATTGTGGTTGTGGTTTTGTTTTGTTTTGTTTTTAAAGATCACTTGGCCTGCCATGAGAGCTAGATTGTTTGCAACGGGCAAGAGTGGATAAAACAAGAGTCAGTTGGGACGCTAATGCAATCGTCCAGGTAGAGGCTGATGGATGGCAGTTTACACGATGCTTTCAAATGTAGTATCTTGTCTTATCTTTATAATAGCTCTCACGTGAGGTGTTAATATCAGCTTCCGTACACCAGGGAGGATGCTGAGACCCAGAAAATTAAGTGGCATGCCCATGGTCAAACGTTGCTGGTGGCTGAATAAGGATTCTGTTATCTGAACTCTTATCTGACTCTTGCCCTGGTGGTCTCCTGGTAGCTTTAGGCCCATGTACTAGCATCCCTGAGTGTGGGCAATTGGCCTTCAGAAAGAATGAGAAAGTTATTTTTAGCCTAGGTTTATGATGGAGTCGAGAAGCAGAACATGACATGGAACTTAATATTAGACTGGGGTGTCCTTTTGGAAAAAACTACATGAATTTCATGTATTTATCATTCCAAAAATGAATTTGGAACAGCTTTCAAAACTACATATGGTATGACAAGATTAAGAAGGGTAAAAATCAGGGTGGGCAAACAGATGGTGCCACAGGCGTCATAAATCCAGTGAACATTCGCCCTCAGACCCGCCATTTACTGAAGAGGGAGAAGCAACTCTAAGAGTCATGGGCCCCCCCAAATTAAAACAAACCAAGCGTTCTGCTCAGAAGAGCTTTTCCTTCTTCTGTAATCTAGGAAGATTTCCTGATGAGGTCTTCATAAAGACTCCATGATATAGTAAGCAGTATCCATAGCTCTTCCATAGAATGGGGGGGTGGGTGAGGAGATTGAAGTGAATTAATCAACCCCAGTAATGCCTGGAAACCATTTCTTTTCTCTAGGAACTGCCCTGCAAATCTTACTAATACACAGAATCATGTGACCCTCAGTAAGACAGTCCCCTCCACACTAAAATCCAGGAATTGTACTAGAGACGGGTTTTTCAAACTGGATGCCCTGGGGAACCCAGTATTGCGTCAGGAGGAATGTGAAACCACAGGACAAAAGTGGCGTATGGGTTTTGCTTGAAGATTTTTGCAAAACAATATTAAAATTTCAGTGAAATGGGTCGAGTTTGGAGTCAGTCTGGAAAATCAGATTTTTTTTCTGGAAATGAACAGTTAAGCCTGAGTATTTTATTGGGGGGAAATTTTCTGCTATTTGAATACATGAGATGCACATCAGTAATCCTGCTTTTGTTCATTAAGATACAACACAAAACTATATAAAGCCTATAATTCCATTTCTAGGTTAATAATTTGCTTTCAGTTCATAGAGCTTACATGTCCTTTACCATATTATTTTTTAAAGGGGGAAATTTTGCCATTATAGAAAGATAACTCAAAATTCTGCACAACTGATGTGTGCCAGGAATAGTACTTTATATTCTTTATTCTCCATGCAGTCCTTCCTCTGCTCTCATACAATCTCTGTTCTCCATAAAATCTCCACTTTATGGATAAGGAAACTAAGGCTCAGAAAAGTCGAATAAATTTGTCTGGATTCGCTTAGCTAGTAAATGAACAGGGCAGGAATCTATATTGTATTCTTTTGGGCAGAATTAATTTCACATTTGCACATTTATTTTTATTTATCAAATACCGTGATGTTGATCATTAGGTATTATCCAGGATAACAGCATTTAGGAAGTTGTCCTCACAGATTTGGGTAAGGATTATATGCTTCAAGAACTAGTTTAACAACTATTACTCTATGATTTATTTGAGGGTGTAGCTGTTTTTCCTTCCTTCCTTCCTCCCTTCCTTCCTCCTCCTCTTCTTTCTTCTTCCTCTTCTGTCTCTCTTTTTCTTTCTTTTGTAGATCATTGATAATAAGAATGAAAACCAGCTCATGGCTTAGTTTTACTGCTTGTATTCCCATAAGGTTATGGATCGCATTGAAAGCTTTTGCCACTCTTGGCAATATGCAATATAGTCAAGGCAAAATAATTTGGAACTGTAACTGACTTTAGAGGCCATTTAATTGGCAGGTTCCAAATTGTGCGCTCTGTAGTCCTACAGGTCCTATAGGCTCCCCACCTGCCCCAGTGGACAATGGAGCAGAATGGATGGGGATGCCTCCCTTGCCTGCACTTCAGCCAGCTTCCTGCTTTATCAGTTCTGTTTTTGCACCTGGGTAAATTTTTGGTGGAAGAAAGGTGCTACATCTTAAAACAACAACAACAACAACAACAAAACAAAATGCCCCAAAAAACAAAAAACAAGCAATACAAAACAAAAAAAATTAAAAACCAGTTTGAAAACTGGTTCTCCAACTCCTTTAGTTTTCTGCAGGGGAGCAAACTTTATATTTCCAGATATAAAATAAAGGTAAAAGTTTTGTGCTTAGTATATATTTTAATGTCTCATCTGAAATACCCTCATCTTGAACTTAACTCTCTTTAATTTGAATGTTTTCTGTATCGTGACTTTAAAGATGATCCTAGGATCCCAGATCCTGTTTTTTGTAGGACTCCGTGTAAAGAATATTCTGAGAGGAGTCTTAACTACACATTTTTGGGCAGAATAGGAAGTTGCCTTCATAGCAGCTCTCATCAGTTGGTGATGGATGGCTACAGTTCTTGTTTCAATGGGTTTTGAGACCCTGTCTGGATTCAGCAGGAGACAGTGTCATGATCCATTAGTGGTGTGTAGCATAAGCCCCTAAATGGGAAGAGGCATCTCTGTAAAGGGCACCAACCTCTTCTTTGTAAGAGCCTATAAGCATAAAATATTGGCTATTTCTTCCTAGACATTGTGTTGTTCATCTTGAAATCATGGATGCTCTAAAGAAGGCAGAAGGAAAAACACAAAAGATGGAAGAAGCTGGAAAGTTTCTTCTTACTGTTCCCTGCTTCAAGAACAGGGGAAAGAACAAATGGTTACATTTCTTCGTTTGTAGAGAACATGATAGAGTAACAGTAGTGCATTTTTTGAAGATAATGGCCCCCAATTTTTAACACACTTACGAAAATGGTAATGAAATCGAAAACATTCCTAGCACTTTTTTTTTTTAATCCTTCAGGATTTGGCTCAAAGGGCATGCCAAAAATTCAACTGAAAAATCCCAAGCAAGCTGCCTGAATTTCCCTGTATATTCTTGTTCTACATCCTATAAAGGACCAGGCAAGCCAAATTAGTGGGTTTTTGGTGAGTACACTCCCGGTGTTGTTTTCTTCTTTGCTTAAAGAAAACCTTAAATATCCATTCCTATCAACCAGGATATCTGCTGCTTAGACAATATGTATCTGGTTTATGTTTATATGACAATCTTGGTGGTTTATATGACTTGATGGGTCATCTTAAACCCACAATAGAAATGCTTATTTCTTTGTTCAGTTTATATCTTTGTGGCCGGAGAGGAAAAATTTCTACCACTTTCTGTATGTGTGAGCATCTTTGGAGTTAAAAGACAAGGAATAATTATGAATTGCTTATAAATTGCCTCTTAACACCACCCAAAAAGAAGTCAAGGTTATTTCCATCGAGTGGTCTTTCAGAAGTGTTGGGCACAAGGAAGGGTCCTTTGCACAAGCTAGAAGAGACACTCGTCTGTTCTTGAACAGTCCTCATGACATTGTCTAATTTCTGTTTCCTCACCTTCATATAAGGTAAAAATAACTGTCATGTCAGACTCTCCAGACCTTGGCAATCCAGTGAATTACAACCCATGTAAATGCACTCTGCCAAGGACATAATTCTCTAATTCTCTACAGATAGAAGGTATTAGTATTGTGGGTGACAGTCCTGCCTGTGCGGGGAGCATGAAAGAAAGAGGCTGAACCTTGGACGGACGGCCCTCCCCAGCCCCAGCCACAGCTACAGCCCTCACTAAGCTCCAGAAGGTAGAGACAGTAAATCCTTGAATGTCAGGGAGGTGGTGCTAGGGTGACAGTGACCTACCCAACAACTTACCTCCCTGCGCCCCCCTCCACCCCCAAGTTCCTTATTTTCTTGTCCTCTAGGTTGGGTCCTGGACTTAATGTACTGAATTCAGGGACTCTGAGAACTAACTTTTTTTTTTTTAATAAAAGCATATTCATTAAAGAAAACCTGGAAATTGAAAGTATGAAATTGCTTATAGGGGCACCTGGGTGGCTCAGTCAATTAAGTGTCTGCCTTCGGCTCAGGTTATGATCTCAGGGTCCTGGGGATTGAGCCTGGCATTGGGCTCCCTGCTCAGCAGGGAGTCTGCTTCTCCCTCTCCTGCTCCCCCCTGCTTGTGCTCTCTCTCTCTTTCAAATAAATAAATAAAATCTTTTAAAAAGAGAAAAAGAAATTGATTATAATCTCACAATCCAAAGATAACCACAGTTAACATTATGGTATATTTATTCCTTTTCTGTTTTTAAAAATATTTCACATATATTCTAAAATATCACTTAACAAGTTTAGCGTAGTTGAGAACATGAGATAGATATTTTAGCCTACAACTATGCCATAATTTATTTAGCCATTTCTGTACTGTTGTACATTATGTTTGTTGCATTCACATATAAATTGTACTATTATGTTCATTACATTATAAATATCACTGTAGTGAACATAACTGTAAGTTTTATTTGTGTCTATTTTCTTGAGGTAAATTTCTATCCATGGAATCATTGGGCTAATGAAAATGAACTATTTTTAATGAACATTGTGAAGCTCTTAATATTGTCAAACTGTCATCCAGAAACATCTCAAATTATACTTGCCCTCCCATTTCTCTTCACCCATTGTATATGACAATGTTCATTTCATGCATACGTGTAAAGATTGAGTTCTGTTGCTTTAAGGTTTAACATCATAAATATTTCTACAGAAGCTCAGGAAATAAAAGCCTCTTTCCTCCCCCCCATCCCTACCCCAGTCCTAACCAATATCCGGTTTCTAAAGTAGAAGATAATGCCATCCAATTGCCACTGTGCACCCACCTCCATCTCTTGGATCTGCTTATGGGGAAAAGCATATATGAGGCTTGCATTCATTCCCTTGGTAGTTGTTGTCACCACTTTTGTTCGTTTCTGTACAGTGTGCTTCAGGAGAACAAGAGAAGATCTTTTCATTGTCTACGAGAAGCCTAATACAGTTGATGAGTCCAAACAAACAGCAAACTAAAAAATATTTAACCTTGGACGGGTTACTTAACTTTTCAAGGCCTGTTTCTTCTTCTTTAAAGTGAGAGGCTCAATATATCTGTATCTAACGAGTGTCTGAGGTGGTTTTTAGTAAACATATGTGAGTACACAAGGTGGTAGAAACAACAATGAAGAAGATGACGTAGATAAACCTAAACTTAACTGAACAACATGATGTGTTGTATAACTTCCATTTTCCAGCAATGAAAGCACATCTGTTCTTTAAGAGAGAAAAGTTTCCCTGCATTTTAAATACTAGGAAAAGTTTTCAAGTTAAGGGAAACTCCTTCAAGATGGCCTCTACAGTTTCTTTTAGCTCTAACATCTATTATTCATGAGTAATGAATAAAATACCAAAAGCTGAGGACTCCTAAAGCAAAAGAATGGTCAATGGACCTCACAGAGAGCTTTGTAGAATCATGACTAGAATTTTATTTATTTTCTAAGTGATTTTTGAAAAGATTTTATGTATTTATTTGAGAGAGAGAGAGTACAAGCAGGGAGAGTGGGAGCAGGGAGCTTGATGTGGGGCTCGATCCCAGGGCCCTGGGATCATGACCTGAGCCGAAGGCAGACACTTAACCGACTGAGCCACCCAGGTGCCCCATGACTAGAATTTTAAAGTAATAGAATCTACAGATCAGGCCTGTCTAATCTTCATCCTCACCCTGGCACCAGTTGCCCCCAAACACACACCCAGAGGGAAAGTCTACACTTGCACCGTTAATGGATTTTAATCAGATTTTCAAACTCTGGAACACACCAAAAGGTTTCAGGAATAACTGAGTTTATGAATATTTGGCTATCCTTCGGCATTACCAGAAATGTTAATATTGTATGACTCAACTACTGAGCTATACTGAGCAATTTCAGGAGACCGAGCCAAAGTTTGGCAAGAAAGTCTGCCACTGGCTAATTGATCTTGCTCTCTGATGTAGATTGTCCTTTGCATATTAACACAGATTAGTATTTGTTGGATATTTCATAAATATTTGTTGGAGTCCTTTCTACTCAGATTTTGTGCCACTTTGTAATACTGGTTTGTTTTGTGCTTAAAAAAAAATTATTTTTACATAATGTTGGAACAAACGTCCAAAATCTAAAAGCATGAAGAGATTATAATACTTCCTCAGACTAGCTCTCATCTTAACCTTGGAATAAGGACACTCTTTGACTAGATTGCACAGAGTTAAAAAGTCTCATTAGGTAAAAAGCTAATAGATTGGTCGTTTGTCTCTCTTTGCAATTTGAATTGTGGACATGAGAAAAAAAAAAGCTGTGTAACCTTAGAATATCATTTTTCTAATCATTTTCCCATTTTTTCTTAAAAGCTGCATTCCTTCCTCCTTTTTATTCCGTATATTAACTCTGCTGGTTTTCCATGACTTTTTTTTACTGTGGTAAGATATGCATGATAACCATTTTTGGGTGTGCGGTTCAGAAGCACTAAATACATTCACATTATTGTACAAATTGTACACACCATCCATCTCCAGAACTTTCTCATCTTCCCAAACTGAAACCCTGTACCCCTTAAACAATAACTCCCATTTCTCCCTCTCCACCAGCTCTTGTCAACCACCATTTTACTTTCTGTCTGTAAGAATTTGACTATTCCAGGTACCTCATGTAAGTTAATATATATTATTTGTCCTTGGGGCCTGGCTTATTTCAGTTAGCATAATGCCTTTATGGTTCATCCATGTGATAGCATGTGTTGTAATTTCCTTCCTTTTAAAGGCTCATGATATTCCATTGTCTATATATGCCACATTTTGCTTATCCATTCATGCATCAAAGAACATTTGGGTTATTTCCATCTTTTGGCTATGTGAATAATACTGCCATGATCATGGGTGTACCTTTAGTTGTTTGAATTCCTGCTTTCAATTCTTTAGGGTATATACCTCATAGTGAATTGGTCAATCATATGCTAATTCTATATGTAAGCTTTTGCAGAACCCCCATACTGTTTGCCACAGCAGCTACACAATTTTACATTCCCACCAGCAACATTCCCAATCCACGTCCGTGCCAACATGTATTTTCTCTGTGTGTGTGTGTGTTTTTTTTTTATAATAGCCATGCTATGAGTAGTATGTCATGGTGGTTTTGATTTGCATTTCCCTAATGATTACTGATGAGCATCTTTTCATAAGCTTGTTGACTATTTTTTGTCTGTTGTTGTTGCATTGTAGGAGTTCTTTATACCCTCTGGGTATTAATTCCTTAATATTTTAAGGGATTGTTTTCCCCCATTCCATGGGTTGCCTTTTCACTCAGCTAATAGTGTCCTTGAATTCATAAAAGTTTTCCATTTTGATGGAGTCCGATTTATCTATTTTTCTTTTGCCACCTGTGCTTTTGGTGTCTTATCCAAGAAATTAATGCTAAATTAAGGTCATGATTTTCTATATTTTATAGAAATATAAAACTAGATTATATATATTTTTCTTCTAAGAGTTTAATAGTTCTAGCTCTTACATTTAGGTCTTTGATCCATTTGGAGTCAGTTTTTGTATCTGGTGTATGGTAAGGACCAGGGTTCCCTTTAAAGAGGTACTTTTCAGTCCCGTCCAGTCTCAGTAGATGTGTGTCAGCCCGTTAAGCAAATGGCACACATATTCCCACCTAATGCTCATCCTCACTTTTCTTCCTAGTGTAGGCTTAGGTGGTTTCCCAACAGACAGGTGAGAGAAAGCTGAAGCAATTAGGGACCTAACAGCTCAGCTGGCTCAGCTTTGGTAACTAGGAGACAGCTGTGAGGCGGTGGCTGGGATCAGCAAGCGTGTGGATGTAAACATGCTTGATGAAATCCCCGGCAAAAGAACAGCAGAGCTCGATAGCATTTTAGGCTAAGAAGAAAAAAGGATGTGTGTGTGCACGTGCACACACACCTGTGTGTTTTGCACGTGTATATATTTGGCAGCACAGGGAAAGAGAGGGGACACTCCACACTGAATCTGGCTGTGAATTGTGAGCTACAGTAAACATTTATTTATTTTTGTACACAAATAGATTTCTCTCTGT